ATTACTTGTCCATATCATGATGCATGCTGTTAATATTGAGTGTGTGCACAGACCTTTAATGCCAGACTTCACAGATCTCGCTGCGGTCAGGAGCAACGCCAAAGCCGTAAATGTAACACTCGATTTTCAGGGGAGATGGGAATGTGGAAAAGAGTTTGGGAAATTCTCCTACTATGATGCCTTTGAATCTCTCCAGAGAACATTTTCTACAGCCTCCAGGCATTGGGATGTGGCACAAGGGCATTCCTTCATCTCCAGGTCAGCACAGTGCGGCCAAGGCTGCTAAGCCCATCCCTTTCCTTCAGACATACGTGGGAAGAAACTCCCCCTTCTGTCACTGGACTACACAAGAGAGGGGAGGGAAAGCGGAGAAAGCAAAACACCACCGTCTTCTGTCCACCATTTTAGAGAGAGAAAAGGAATTCATCAGCTGCTCTCCTCTTTGACATCCAAATGGAAAAGGCAAGACACCAGGCTGTTTCCTCCCTGCATTAGACGTGAGAGGAAGCAGGAGAGGAAGAGGGCAGGAAGCAGCCAACAAAAGGTAAGAAGAGATGCTAAACTTCCCCATGTGCTAATGCTGTTGCATTTGAATCCGAATTCTTAGAAACCTACAACCCAGCTGTGGAAAAAGGACTTTGGGAAAGCTGGGGGGGAAGGGGGGAGGGAAGGATGGCTTTCTCAGCAGCAGTACATGTTTTGTTTCGGTTTGTATTTGCATGCTTCATCCAAAGTGTTACACAACATGAAGCTTTATATAGCTATACGAGAGCACACGTCCAGGGAAAAACCCCAACCACACCAAAATCTGTTCAGGTGCGAAAACCTCACCCAAGTCTAACAGGACCCTAATGCAGACTGCTGACGAGGTACCACAACAACAACAACAACAAAATCGTACATTAGAAAATATTTCTTGCTTAGCTGTGAGAGAACAGCTTTCCCAAGACAACTCTGCGTAACTCCATGCCCCAAATTCACTAGCATTTGCCAGACAGCAACGGCTGCTGCAGGGCTCCTTTGGCAAACGCTGCATCTCAGATTTTTCTCTTTCTCAATATGCTGCCATTTCCTGTGGAATGGAGAAATCATCTATACTACAAAGAGGTGCAGTACTAACACTTTCAAAAGTAAATAATTTTATAGCAATGTAAAGTATAGAGAGAAATATAACACTTGGGCACAGAAATTCCTGAGCGGATAGAGATTAGAAAAACATTCTGATAAACAAACGCCGTCAAAGCTTATATTTTTTATTCAGTGCAAAAAATGTTGGGTAACTGTCTGCTTTTCCTAGAAAGAATGGAATTCTGTTGCCAACAGCTGTAGTTTTTCAGAGGAATTATAATACCATATTGAAGATTTATGTTCCTGACAAAGGCATAAAGTTATCCAAACCAGGGCAGAAAAACCAGAATAGTCTTTTCCCAACAAAACCCACATTATTTTTGTTAACTCTTCCTATGACAGAAGTTTTGATCTTCAAAACCAGGAACTCATGTTGTGGTTGATGTTTATAATGATTAAGTCTTGCAGTGCTACTCTGCACAGGGTGAACTGTTTGATCACAGGCTCTTACACAAGCAAGAAACACACCACCCTGAAATCAATTAAAGTTGTAGATATTTACCTCCAAAAGCACATGACTTTAAACTGTTTTCTTGAGATTTTGGGGGTTTACAATGATGCTTGCCCTACCTTACGAACAAGTTTCCCCAAAGCTGTGGCCATCTGACAGATCCATACCAGAGAGGAGAAAGGCAACCCTAGGCAAAAATCTGTCCTGTGCATAAAGCAAAAACGCAAGAGGAAGGAATCTTGGGCCTCTTTGCTCCAACTATCGAGATGCAAGTGGCCCTACCTGCCTGCACGTCACTCTCCTGATTCCCATGGAAAAGCTATTCCTCGTGTTCTGCAGGATTACAGTCTTCTGTGTTCCTTGGAACCACAGCAGACAACAGTAAACAGAACTATCATTTTTAAATCAACTGACGTTCAGCAATAAAACTCAGGATATCACAGGTTTTGAAGTTCATTTATTTGCAAGCAGCTAAACGGCATACTCTGGGTTGAATCCTGCGCCGATTTGCGGTTACAGTCTATGCTGCTCCATGAACATTACACCGAGTCACACAACTTGGGAACCAAGACATCCACTGCCTTGGAAGCACTGGCCCAAAGGCTCCCGGTGGGTCAGCAGCACTGTCTTGTTTAGGTCTCACACTTTGCCTTCCATTTTGTAGCTGCTCGATGCACCAGATCATATTTACACTACGTCACCAAAGAAAGTTTTTATTTCTGTCCTTCTGAAACTGCTATTTGTTTGGTTCGGTTGGTTTGTTATTTTTGGGTTTTTTTCACTAGGGGAAGAAAATAAATTAAAAGCTTCTTAACAACTACAGTTGTGATTTTTTTTTTTTTTAACTTGGAACCAACAAACTGTATTTCTCAGCTGAAGCGCAGATAGAAAGCCTGATCTCCTAGAACACAATGCACAATAATCCAAAGGCCTACATAGAAAAATCACTCTGTGTGTGCCACAGTTTTTACGTATAGATGGAGAAAACCTAATAGTCTACTTTTACTGATTTCAAAATCCTATGTGTAGTCAGTGAGAAGTGAAAGACTATAAAATAAAACTTTCTTTCAAGGAACAACTTGCCACCTGTCCTTCGTCCTGCAAAAGATCTGCAAAAACTGAGGATATTTTGCTTGAGTAAACAGAATTTTAATTGAGCATAAACAAGTGAACAGCAGGCATGTGATTTCCATAAGTATGCATGATTCAAAATAAAAAAAGGTTTAAAAATCTGGGGCCATAAAACCAACCTCAATTTTAAAAGGTTTAGGGTCTAAAAAAAGGTAGTGCGTATATGGCAGGCTTTTTTCATCACAAATGGATTCTTTAAAAGAAATTGCCACTGACAATTCATCATTTATAAGAACTGTTTCCAGTATGGCAGAAGTTATCTAGCACGGCACTAAGGAACACATTTAATTTTCAGTATGCTTATAGCTTTATTAGAGCCAATGGCTTTTTCCATGCTTAAGGCCAAGCATATGCTCAAGTACTCTGCCAAGACAAAAGCTTACAAGTTTGTCGTTTGGATTGCAAAGCGCAGCTTTTTATCCCAGACCACTTTTTCTTGCATGTCATCAGCACTGGTGATGCCACCACGGTTTCCAATGCATTCCAGGGTGCACTCAGCATTTATTGGGGCACAGATGGTGCTCCTTTCCTTGGCTTCTAAAGATCATTTAAAACAAACTTGGCTATCTGCCTCTTACCCTGTTCTTATACTTGGTATTGCCACTGTAAAAATAATAATAAACTCTGATCTAATCTGGAAGCCTTTTCTAACTCACACACAAAATTTGGCAATATGATTATCAAGTACAGTCAGCTCACTCGAAACCAGAGAACCCGATAACGCATGAATGCAGCACGTTAGGCACAAGCGATCAAGAACAGGAACAAGCAATCCACAAAACAATCAAAAGAACAAAAATGAGAAACAATTTTTCTAGTAACAAACTATTCAATCCTGACTGTATTTGATGGCTCTGTGGGTGTTTCTAGAACTGTAAGGATTATTCAACAGCTTAACCAGCAATTAGCAAACAAACAGGCTGATTTGTAAGGCAAATAAAGAGCATTAGCATGACAGGATTTGTCATAACAGTGAGCAAGGTTTTTTCCAACAGACTCAATGCCTCAAGTTTGCATTGTGCTGAGAATTTGCAGTGTTTTCCCCTATGGGCAGCACAGGACATTTATTTCCCAAATTCTGAAAATTATTTACTAACTTCCGAGCAAGCACAAAGCAACCTCTACAGACACCCAACAGACAGACAATCTGTGATGATATTCCAGTAAAAATGTCCTAAGGCAAGATAATGTCAGATTTCTCCAGCAGATCTTGACAAAAAAAGTTCTTGAAGGTGCAGCTAACCAGGCCGCAGGTGCACATGGCGGTCAATGGGTCTTAGTCACCCACCCTCACAGGCTTTCAGCCTCACGCAAAGCACGTGGACGCTGGAAAAATCACATGTCGTGTGCATCAAAATATGTACGACCGAACTCAGATGGGGCTTGGGGGGGGTGTGGAGGGCTTGGAGAAAGGTTAATCAGACCGCTTGGAAACGATGTGCCCGAGTCAGGACTATTTTGCTGCCCCACTGGTAACACAAGGTGAGCAGCCAGAGCATGCTGCCAGGATCCGGGGCCAGAAACGGGCATTTTAAGCAGTCGCCATGACTTCAAAACAACTCAACAAGAGCATGCACGGATTGCTAAAGAAATCACTTCTGAACAACCACCAAGTCCAGACAACTAGTTTTAGAAGTACATTTAAATGTCAGAAAGCCAGAGATTTGACCAAATAAGATTATAAAACATGCCCTAAATCGGTTAGCTCCTTAATTTGTTTTAAAACTGAGCAATGGCTAGTAATTTTGGAAGTAATTATCCTAGATATTTGGACTACAGTGAACTTAATAAACTAAATAAATCTAAATTAGCATATGGTACTAAATCAATATGACACTAAAATCATAATAAAAGTAATAAAAGTTCTGTCAATACGAACAATCCAGAAAAAAAACACTGTAAAACCTATATAAACAATAATCAGGTGTGGATGGTGAAGAGACTGCTCTGCAGCTAGCCAAAACTACTTTTTGTAGTTCGTTCCCTTTGAGGTAACGGAGTCTGGAGCCTCCTACGTCCCAGCCTCTCCTGCTGTCTCCTGGTCTTCTGAAACTCAGCCCTGCACACTCCTGAAACTTTGCAGTACCTCCTGGCGTGTCGTTGGCTTCCAGGAAATCCAAGCTGTCCCCTTTCGTTGGTATCATGCTCTGTATCTACACGA